CTTACCATGTGTACTTTATTTTTCAAAATTTTAAACCGAAGTTGCACCCTTAAATTGTGTCATTAGATTTGGTTCAAAATTAGGGAGGGAATTGGGCTCATTAGTTGTTATTCTTACATAAATTGAGCTTAATTAGCCTTCAAATCAAAAACTGAATCAATCGACCGGTTTTAAAAAAGTAATTTGTAATTGAATTTTTGCATAACAACTGCACCATAAATTAGCTGGTAAAACTCCAAGAAATTTTAGTTTTTGTTGTATTTGGCCAAAAAAGACCGAGTTTGAGAAAAACCACTTTAAATATTCTGTTTTAGCTCAACTTAACGGGTTGCTTTAATTCAGCACAAAAGTACCTTGTTCTGCACAAAGCCCGGTTTGATCTTCATACACCGAAAATGCTTACCATGCAATTTCATTATCAAAAATCTAAGAATAAGATTAGATAGCACAAGTTTTTGAACTTTTTAAGGAAAAAATGCTTGTCATACATATCCCATATTCCAAAATGGCATGACAGGCATTTTCGATGGCGACAACAAATTATTTTAATGTTATTTCGAAATTGTCCCAAAACGATTTTTTTTCAACCGCAAAACAAATTTTTTACTCATTTTTTGGGGGTGAATAACGTAGTCCTGCATGCACAAATGGTGAATTTTCTTGTCGTTTTGCTGGATACTTTTTTTTTCAAAAAATCTGAAAACATCTATTTCTTTTGTATGGCTTGTTTACTAGCGCAGTGAAATTCAATAAATCGCGAAAACATACGTGAAAAAAAAACAATCCAACTAAATGAACTCTATCATTAGATTCCGACAAACGTTTGCTGCCTAATGCAAAAAGAATCACTTCAATAACCCAATTATTTGTGAAACTAGAGAGAAGTTATAAAAACACATCTAACCCATCTAAAATCTAACCCCAACCAATTTTTATCTCCTAGGGTCCCTCAATTCAGTGGCTCTATCTCTGAATCTGAAAACGAACTCCAAAAAAGTTGATAATATAGGAACAGTGGTAGTATGTCTTTGGAGATCACAACCCGGAGGGTGGAGGGGGGAGGTGGGAGCTCAGGAGGCGATGAGCAGGAAGGGTGCGAGTAGGAGCATTGTGATGAAAGCAAGAAAATGCAGATGAAATGTAAAGAGTATTTCAGTAGTCAGGGGATTGGGGATGGTTGTTGAAACTGAGGAGAATGGATACCACAGACCCACTTTAGCACTGGTTGCTGCCATGGCCAGGACAGACGTCTCCTTCATCATAGATGAACACATGTTCGCTAACATAGGTACATCACTACAGCTCTACTACTTAACAATAAATTAAAGTCAAGCAACAAGATTCTAACATAAAACAAGAATGGCTGATAGCTGTGAAAATAACCCAAGCATTTTGCAAAAAAAGAATGGCTGGTCGCTGTGAAAATTACCCAAGTATTCTCAGAAAACAAGTGACTGGTCGCTGTGAAACTAACCGAAATAATTTTTAAAAACGAATGGCTGGTCGCTATGAAAATAACCGAAGTATTCTTAGAAAAAAGCATGGCTGGTCGCTGTGAAATTAACCGAAGTATTCTTAGAAAAAAGCATGGCTGGTCGCTGTGAAATAATCCGAAGTATTCTTAGAAAAAAGCATGGCTGGTCGCTGTGAAATTAACCGAAGTATTCTTAGAAAAAAGCATGGCTGGTCGCTGTGAAATAATCCGAAGTATTCTTAGAAAAAAGCATGGCTGGTCGCTGTGAAATTAACCGAAGTATTCTTAGAAAAAAAATGGCTGGCCGCTGTGAAAATAACCGAAGTAATCTTAGAGAGAAGAATGACTGGTGGCTGTAAAATTAACTGAAGTATCTTAGAAAAAACAATGGCTGGTCGCTGTGAAATTAACCGAAGTATTCTCAGAAAAAAGAATGGCTGGTCGCTGTGAAACTAACCAAGTATTTTTAAAAAAAGAAAGGCCGGTCGCTGTGAAACTAACCGAAGTGTTTTTTTAAAAAAAGAATGACTGGGAGCTGTAAAAAAACTGGAGTATCTTAAAAAAAAGAATGGCTGGTCGCTGTGAATTTAACCGAAGTAATCTTAGTAAAAAATTGGCTGGTCGCGGTGAAACTAACCGAAGTATTTTTTGAAAAAAAGAATGACAGGTCGCTGTGAAAAAAAAAGTATTTCTAGAAAAAAAAATGGCTGGTCGCTGTGAAATTAAACGAAGTATCCTATTCATAGAAAAAAGAATGGCTGGTCGCTGTGAAATCAACCCAAGCCTTTTGAAAAAAAAGGCTGGTCGCTGTGAAATGAACCAATGCTTTTTTTAGAAAAAAAATGACTGGGCGCTATAAAATTAATCGAGGTATTTTTTGAAAAAAGAATGACTGGTCGCTGTGAAAACAACCGAAGTAATCTTAGAAGGAAGAATGACTGGCCGCTGTAAAAGTAACTGAAGTATCTTAGAAAAAAGAATTGCTGTTCGCTGTGAAATTAACCGTAGCATTCTTAGAAAGAAAAATGTAAAAAAAAGAACGACTGGTCGCTGTGAAATTAACCGATGTCTTCCTAGAAAAAAGAATGGCTGGTCGCTTTGAAAACACCTGAAGTATTCATAGAAAAAAGAATGGCTGGTCGCTGTGAAATTAAAAGAAGTATTCTTTTCTTAGAAAAAAGAATGGCTGGTCGCTGTGAAATCAACCGAAGTATTTTTAAAAAAAAAGAATGGCTGGTCACTGTGAAATCAACCCAAGCCTTTTTAAAAAAAGAATGACTGGGCGCTGTGAAATTAAACGATGCATTTTTTTTAATGACCGGGAGCTATAAAATTAATCGAGGTATTTTTTTAAAAAAAGATTGACTGGTCGCTGTGAAAACAACGGAAGTATTCTTAGAAGGAAGAATGACTGGTCGCTGTAAAAGTAACTGAAGTATCTTAGAAAAAAGAATTGCTGTTCGCTGTGAAATTAACCGAAGCATTCTTAGAAAGAAGAATGACTGGTCGCTGTAAAATTAACTGAAGTATCTTAGAAAAAAGAATGACTGGTCGCTGTGAAATTAACCGAAGTGTTCTTAGAAAAATATCATGGCTGGTCGCTGTGAAACTAGTCGAAGTGTAGTAAAAAAAAACCGACCGGTCCCTGTGAAATTAACCGAAGTCTTCCCAGAAAAAAGAATGGCTGGTCGCTGTGAAAACACCTGAAGTGTTCATAGAAAAAAGAATGGCTGGTCGCTGTTAAATCAACCGAAGTATTTTTAAAAAAAGAATGGCTGGTCGCTGTGAAATTGACCAAAGCCTTTTTAAAAAAAGAATGACTGGGCGCTGTGAAATTAACCGATGCATTTTTAAAAAAAATGACCGGGAGCTATAAAATTGATCGAGGAATTTTATAAAAAAGAATGACTGGTCGCTGTGAAAACAACCAAAGTATTCTTAGAAAAAAAATGGCTGGCCGCTGTGAAATCAACCAGGTGTTTTTAAAAAAAGAATGGCTGCTCGCTGTGAAAACAACCAAAGTACTCTTAGAAAGAAGAATGGCTGGTCGCTGTGAAACTAACCAAAGTATTTTAAAAAAAATGGCTGGTCGCTGTGAAGCTAACCGAAGTAATTTTTCAAAAAAAGAATGACTGGGCGCTGTAAAAAAACTGGAGTATCTTAAAAAAAAATGAATGTTCGCTTTGAATTTAACCGAAGTATTCTTAGAAAAAAAATTGGCTGGTCGCAGTGAAACTAACCGAAGTATTTAAAAAAAAATGACTGGTCGCTGTGAAAAGAAAAGTATTTCTAGAAAAAAAATAGCTGGTCGCTGTAAAAACAACTGAAGTGTTCTTAGAAAAAAAATGGCTGGTCGCTGTGAAAATAAACAAAGACTTCTATTCATAGAAAAAAGAATGGCTGGTCGCTGTGAAATCAACCGAAGCCTTTAAAAAAAATGGCTGCTCGCTGTGAAACTAACCGATGCATTTTTTTTAAAAAAAGACTGGGCGCTATAAAATCAATCGAGGTATTTTTTAAAAAAAGAATGCCTGGTCGCTGTGAAAACAACCAAAGTATTCTTAGAAAAAAAGAATGAACCGATGCAATTTTTTAAAAAAAGACTGGGCGCTATAAAATCAATCGAGGTATTTTAAAAAAAAAAATGGCTGGTCGCTGTGAAATCAACCGAGGCCTTTTGAAAAAAATGGCTGCTCGCTGTGAAATTAACCGATGCATTTTTTTAAAAAAGACTGCGCGCTATAAAATCAATCGAGGAATTTTTTTAAAAAAGAATGCCTGGCCGCTGTGAAATCAACCAGGTGTTTTTAAAAAAAAAATGACTGCTCGCTGTGAAAACAACCGAAGTGCTCTTAGAAAGAATAATGACTGGTCGCTGTAAAATTAACTGAAGTATCTTAGAAAAAAGAATGGCTGGTTGCTGTGAAATTAACCAAAGTATTCTTAGAAAAAAGAAGAATAACGTTTTTTGGGGGTGAATAACGTAGTCCTGCATGCACAAATGGTGGATTTTCTTGTCGTTTTGCTGGATAATTTTTTTTTCAAAAAATCTGAAAACATCTATTTCTTTTTGAATGGCTTGTTTACTAGCGCAGTGAAATTCAATAAATCGCGAAAACATACGTGAAAAAAACAATCCAACTAAATGAACTATATCATAAGATTTCGGCAAACTTTTGCTGCTTAATGCAAAAAGAATCACTTCAATAACCCAATTATTTGTGAAACACGAGAGAAGTTATAAAAACACATCTAACCCATCTGAAATCTAACCCCAACCGATTTTCATCTCCTAGGGTCCCTCAATTTAGTGGCTCTATCTCTGAATCTGAAAACGAACTCCAAAAAAGTTGATAATATAGGAACAGTGGTAGTATGTCTTTGGAGATCACAACCCGGAGGGTGGAGGGGGGAGGTGGGAGCTCAGGAGGCGATGAGCAGGAAGGGTGCGAGTAGGAGCATAGTGATGAAAGCAAGAAAATGCAGATGAAATGTAAAGAGTATTTCAGTAGTCAGGGGATTGGGGATGGTTGTTGAAACTGAGGAGAATGGATACCACAGACCCACTTTAGCACTGGCTGCTGCCATGGCCAGGACAGACGTCTCCTTCATCATAGATGAACACATGTTCGCTAACATAGGTACATCACTACAGCTCTACTACTTAACAATAAATTAAAGTCAAGCAACAAGATTCTAACATAAAACAAGAATGGCTGATAGCTGTGAAAATAACCCAAGCATTTTGTAAAAAAAGAATGGCTGGTCGCTGTGAAATTAAAAGAAGTATTCTTTTCTTAGAAAAAAGAAGTATTCATAGAAAAAAGAATGGCTGGTCGCTGTGAAATTAAAAGAAGTATTCTTTTCTTAGAAAAAAGAATGGCTGGTCGCTGTGAAATCAACCGAAGTATTTAAAAAAAAAAAAGAATGGCTGGTCACTGTGAAATCAATCCAAGCCTTTTTAAAAAAAGAATGACTGGGCGCTGTGAAATTAAACGATGCATTTTTTTTAATGACCGGGAGCTATAAAATTAATCGAGGTATTTTTTAAAAAAAAGATTGACTGGTCGCTGTGAAAACAACGGAAGTATTCTTAGAAGGAAGAATGACTGGTCGCTGTAAAAGTAACTGAAGTATCTTAGAAAAAAGAATTGCTGTTCGCTGTGAAATTAACCGAAGCATGCAGATGAAATGTAAAGAGTATTTCAGTAGTCAGGGGATTGGGGATGGTTGTTGAAACTGAGGAGAATGGATACCACAGACCCACTTTAGCACTGGCTGCTACCATGGCCAGGACAGACGTCTCCTTCATCATAGATGAACACATGTTCGCTAACATAGGTACATCACTACAGCTCTACTACTTAACAATAAATTAAAGTCAAGCAACAAGATTCTAACATAAAACAAGAATGGCTGACAGCTGTGAAAATAACCCAAGCATTTTGTAAAAAAAGAATGGCTGGTCGCTGTGAAAATTACCCAAGTATTCTTAGAAAACAAATGACTGGTCGCTGTGAAACTAACCGAAATAATTTTTAAAAACGAATGGCTGGTCGCTATGAAAATAACCGAAGTATTTTTTGAAAAAAACATGGCTGGTCGCTGTGAAATAATCCGAAGTATTCTTAGAAAAAAAAATGGCTGGCCGCTGTGAAATCAACCAAGTATTTAAAAAAAAAGAATGGCTGGTCGCTGTGAAAATAACCGAAGTACTCTTAGAGAGAAGAATGACTGGTGGCTGTAAAATTAACTGAAGTATCTTAGAAAAAACAATGGCTGGTCGCTGTGAAATTAACCGAAGTATTCTCAGAAAAAAGAATGGCTGGTCGCTGTGAAACTAACCAAGTATTTTTAAAAAAAGAAAGGCCGGTCGCTGTGAAACTAACCGAAGTGTTTTTTAAAAAAAGAATTACTGGGCGCTGTGAAAAAACTGGAGTATCTTAAGAAAAAGAATGGCTGGTCGCTGTGAATTTAACCGAAGTAATCTTAGAAAAAAAATGGCTGGTCGCTGTGAAATCAACCGAGGCCTTTTGAAAAAAAATGGCTGCTCGCTGTGAAATTAACCGATGCATTTTTTTTAAAAAAGACTGCGCGCTATAAAATCAATCGAGGAATTTTTTTAAAAAAGAATGCCTGGCCGCTGTGAAATCAACCAGGTGTTTTTAAAAAAAGAATGACTGCTCGCTGTGAAAACAACCGAAGTGCTCTTAGAAAGAATAATGACTGGTCGCTGTAAAATTAACTGAAGTATCTTAGAAAAAAGAATGGCTGGTTGCTGTGAAATTAACCAAAGTATTCTTAGAAAAAAGAAGAATAACGTTTTTTGGGGGTGAATAACGTAGTCCTGCATGCACAAATGGTGGATTTTCTTGTCGTTTTGCTGGATAATTTTTTTTTCAAAAAATCTGAAAACATCTATTTCTTTTTGAATGGCTTGTTTACTAGCGCAGTGAAATTCAATAAATCGCGAAAACATACGTGAAAAAAACAATCCAACTAAATGAACTATATCATAAGATTTCGGCAAACTTTTGCTGCTTAATGCAAAAAGAATCACTTCAATAACCCAATTATTTGTGAAACACGAGAGAAGTTATAAAAACACATCTAACCCATCTGAAATCTAACCCCAACCGATTTTCATCTCCTAGGGTCCCTCAATTTAGTGGCTCTATCTCTGAATCTGAAAACGAACTCCAAAAAAGTTGATAATATAGGAACAGTGGTAGTATGTCTTTGGAGATCACAACCCGGAGGGTGGAGGGGGGAGGTGGGAGCTCAGGAGGCGATGAGCAGGAAGGGTGCGTGCGAGTAGGAGCATAGTGATGAAAGCAAGAAAATGCAGATGAAATGTAAAGAGTATTTCAGTAGTCAGGGGATTGGGGATGGTTGTTGAAACTGAGGAGAATGGATACCACAGACCCACTTTAGCACTGGCTGCTGCCATGGCCAGGACAGACGTCTCCTTCATCATAGATGAACACATGTTCGCTAACATAGGTACATCACTACAGCTCTACTACTTAACAATAAATTAAAGTCAAGCAACAAGATTCTAACATAAAACAAGAATGGCTGATAGCTGTGAAAATAACCCAAGCATTTTGTAAAAAAAGAATGGCTGGTCGCTGTGAAATTAAAAGAAGTATTCTTTTCTTAGAAAAAAGAAGTATTCATAGAAAAAAGAATGGCTGGTCGCTGTGAAATTAAAAGAAGTATTCTTTTCTTAGAAAAAAGAATGGCTGGTCGCTGTGAAATCAACCGAAGTATTTTAAAAAAAAAAAGAATGGCTGGTCACTGTGAAATCAATCCAAGCCTTTTTAAAAAAAGAATGACTGGGCGCTGTGAAATTAAACGATGCATTTTTTTTAATGACCGGGAGCTATAAAATTAATCGAGGTATTTTTTTTTAAAAAAAAGATTGACTGGTCGCTGTGAAAACAACGGAAGTATTCTTAGAAGGAAGAATGACTGGTCGCTGTAAAAGTAACTGAAGTATCTTAGAAAAAAGAATTGCTGTTCGCTGTGAAATTAACCGAAGCATGCAGATGAAATGTAAAGAGTATTTCAGTAGTCAGGGGATTGGGGATGGTTGTTGAAACTGAGGAGAATGGATACCACAGACCCACTTTAGCACTGGCTGCTACCATGGCCAGGACAGACGTCTCCTTCATCATAGATGAACACATGTTCGCTAACATAGGTACATCACTACAGCTCTACTACTTAACAATAAATTAAAGTCAAGCAACAAGATTCTAACATAAAACAAGAATGGCTGACAGCTGTGAAAATAACCCAAGCATTTTGTAAAAAAAGAATGGCTGGTCGCTGTGAAAATTACCCAAGTATTCTTAGAAAACAAATGACTGGTCGCTGTGAAACTAACCGAAATAATTTTTAAAAACGAATGGCTGGTCGCTATGAAAATAACCGAAGTATTTTTTGAAAAAAACATGGCTGGTCGCTGTGAAATAATCCGAAGTATTCTTAGAAAAAAAAATGGCTGGCCGCTGTGAAATCAACCAAGTATTTAAAAAAAAAAGAATGACTGGTGGCTGTAAAATTAACTGAAGTATCTTAGAAAAAACAATGGCTGGTCGCTGTGAAATTAACCGAAGTATTCTCAGAAAAAAGAATGGCTGGTCGCTGTGAAACTAACCAAGTATTTTTAAAAAAAGAAAGGCCGGTCGCTGTGAAACTAACCGAAGTGTTTTTTAAAAAAAGAATTACTGGGCGCTGTGAAAAAACTGGAGTATCTTAAGAAAAAGAATGGCTGGTCGCTGTGAATTTAACCGAAGTAATCTTAGAAAAAAAATTGGCTGGTCGCGGTGAAACTAACCGAAGTATTTTTTTAAAAAAAAGAATGACTGGTCGCTGTGAAAAAAAAAATATTTCTAGAAAAAAGAATGACTGGTCGCTGTAAAAACAAATGAAGTGTTCTTAGAAAAAAAATGGCTGGTCGCTGTGAAATTAAACGAAGTATTCTATCCATAGAAAAAAGAATGGCTGGTCGCTGTGAAATCAACCCAAGCTTTTTGAAAAAAAAAGGCTGGTCGCTGTGAAATGAACCAATGCTTTTTTTAGAAAAAAAATGACTGGGCGCTATAAAATTGATCGAGGTATTTTTTGAAAAAAGAATGACTGGTCGCTGTGAAAACAACCGAAATATTCTTAGAAGGAAGAATGACTGGCCGCTGTAAAAGTAACTGAAGTATCTTAGAAAAAAGAATTGCTGTTCGCTGTGAAATTAACCGTAGCATTCTTAGAAAGAAAAATGAAAAAAAAAGAACGACTAGTCGCTGTGAAATTAACCGAAGTCTTCCTAGAAAAAAGAATGGCTGGTCGCTGTAAAATCAACCGAAGTATTTTAAAAAAAAAAGAATGGCTGGTCACTGTGAAATCAACCCAAGCCTTTTTTAAAAAAGAATGACTGTGCGCTGTGAAATTAAACGATGCATTTTTTTTTAAAATGACCGGGAGCTATAAAATTAATCGAGGTATTTTTTTTTAAAAAGATTGACTGGTCGCTGTGAAAACAACGGAAGTATTCTTAGAAGGAAGAATGACTGGTCGCTGTGAAATTAACCGAAGTGTTCTTAGAAAAAAATCATGGCTGGTCGCTGTGAAACTAGCCGAAGTGTTGCAAAAAAAAAACGACTGGTCGCTGTGAAATTAACCGAAGTCTTCCCGGAAAAAAGAATGGCTGGTCGCTGTGAAAACACCTGAAGTGTTCATAGAAAAACAAATGGCTGGTCGCTGTTAAATCAACCGAAGTATTTTTAAAAAAAGAATGGCTGGTCGCTGTGAAATAATTGACCAAAGCCTTTTTAAAAAAAAAATGACTGGGCGCTGTGAAATTAACCGACGCATTTTTAAAAAAAATGACCGGGAGCTATAAAATTGATCGAGGAATTTTATAAAAAAGAATGACTGGTTGCTGTGAAAACAACCAAAGTATTCTTAGAAAAAAAATGGCTGGCCGCTGTGAAATCAACCAGGTGTTTTTAAAAGAAGAATGGCTGCTCGCTGTGAAAACAACCAAAGTACTCTTAGAAAGAAGAATGGCTGGTCGCTGTGAAACTAACCAAAGTATTTTTAAAAAAAGAATGGCTGGTCGCTGTGAAGCTAACCGAAGTAATTTTTCAAAAAAAGAATGACTGGGCGCTGTAAAAAAACTGGAGTATCTTTAAAAAAAATGGCTGTTCGCTTTGATTTTAACCGAAGTATTCTTAGAAAAAAAATTGGCTGGTCGTGGTGAAACTAACCGAAGTATCAAAAAAAGTGACTGGTCGCTGTGAAAAAAAAAGTATTTCTAGAAAAAAATAGCTGGTCGCTGTAAAAACAACTGAAGTGTTCTTAGAAAAAAATGGCTGGTCGCTGTGAAAATAAACAAAGTCTTCTATTCATAGAAAAAAGAATGGCTGGTCGCTGTGAAATCAACCGAAGCCTTTTGAAAAAAAATGGCTGCTCGCTGTGAAATTAACCGATGCATTTTTTTTTAAAAAGACTGGGCGCTATAAAATCAATCGAGGTATTTTTTAAAAAAAGAATGCCTGGCCGCTGTGAAATCAACCAGGTGTTTTTAAAAAAAGAATGGCTGCTCGCTGTGAAAACAACCGAAGTACTCTTAGAAAGAAGAATGACTGGTCGCTGTAAAATTAACTGAATTATTTTAGAAAAAAGAATGGCTGGTTGCTGTGAAATTAAAAGAAGTGTTCTTAAAAAAAAGAATGGCTGGTCGCTGTGAAACTAACCAAAGTATTTTTAAAAAAAGAATGGCTGGTCGCTGTGAAACTAACCGAAGTAATTTTTCAAAAAAAGAATGACTGGGCGCTGTAAAAAAACTGCAGTATCTTAAAAAAAAATGGCTGTTCGCTGTAAATTTAACCAAAGTATTATTAGAAAAAAAAATTGGCTGGTCGCGGTGAAACTAACCGAAGTATTTTTTAAAAAAAATGTATGGTCGCTGTGAAAAAAAAGTATTTCTAGAAAAAAAATGGCTGGTCGTGTGAAAATAAACGAAGTCTTCTATTCATAGAAAAAAGAATGGCTGGTTGCTGTGAAATCAACCGAAGCCTTTTGAAAAAAAAGGCTGCTCGCTGTGAAATTAACCGATGCATTTTTTTTAAAAAGACTGGGCGCTATAAAATCAATCGAGGTATTTTTTAAAAAAAGAATGCCTGGTCGCTGCGAAAACAACCGAAGTGTTCTTTGAAAAAAGCATGGCTGGTCACTGTGAAACTAAAAGAAGTGTTATAAAAAAAGAATGACTGGTCGCTGTGAAATTAACAGAAGTCTTCCTAGAAAAAACAATGGCTGGTCGCTGTGAAAACACCTGAAGTGTTCTTAGAAAAAAGAATGGCTTGTCGCTGTGAAATTAAAAGGACTATTCTATCCTTAGAAAAAAGAATGGCTGGTCGCTGTAAAATCAACCGAAGTATTTTTAAAATAGAATGGCTGGTCGCTGTGAAATGAACCGATGCATTTTTTAGAAAAAAATTGACTGGTCGCTGTAAAATTAATTGAAGTATCTTAGAAAAAAGAGTGGCTGGTCGCTGTGAAATCAGATCAAGTGTTCTTAGAAAAAAGCATGGCTGGTCGCTGTGAAACTAACCGAAGTGTTGTAAAATAAGAACGACTGGTCGCTGTGAAATTAACCGAAGTCTTCCTGGAAAAAAGAATGGCTGGTCGCTGTGAAAACACCTGAAATGTTCTTAGAAAAAAGAATGTCTGGTTGCTGTGAAATTAAAAGCTTTTTTTAAAAAAGAATGACTGGGCGCTGTAAAATTAACTGAAGTATCTTAGAAAGGAGCTTGGCTGGTCGCTGTGAAATCAAACGAAGTATTTCATTCTTAGAAAAAATAATGGCTGATTGCTGTGAAATGAACCGAAGTCTTTTGAAAAAAAAAATGGCTGGTCGCTCTGAAATTAACCGATGCATTTTTTAATAAAAAATGATTGGGCGCTATAAAATTCTTTGAAGTACTTTTTAAAGAAAGAATGACTGGTCGCTGTGAAAACAACCGAAGTATTCTTAGAAAGAAGGATGACTGATCGCTGTAAAATTTACTGAAGTATCTTAGAAAAAACGATGGCTGTTCGCTGTAATATTAACCGAAGCATTTTTAGAAAGAAGAATGACTGGTCGCTGTAAAATTAACTGAAGTATCTTAGAAAAAAGAATGACTGGTCGCTGTGAAATTCACCGAAGTGTTCTTAGAAAAAAAGCAAGACTGGTTGCTGTGAAACTAACAGAACTGTTGTAAAAAAGAGAATGACTGGTCGCTGTGAAATTAACCGAAGTCTTCCTAGAAAAAAAAATGGCTGGTTGCTGCGAAAACACCTGAAGTATTCGTAGAAAAAAGAATGAATGGTCGCTGTGAAATTAAAAGAAGTATTCTATTCTTAGAAAAAAAAATGGCTGGTCGCTGTAAAATCAACTAAATATTTTTTAAAAAAAAGAGTGACTGGGCGCTGTAAAGTTAACTGAAGTATCTTAGAAAGAAGAATGGCTGGTCGCTGTGAATTTAAACGAAGTATTCTTAGAAAAAAAGCTGGTCGCTATGAAACTAACCGAAGTATTTTTTTTAAAAAAAGAATGACTGGTCGCCGTGAAAAAAAGCATTTCTAGAAAAAAGAATGGCTGGTCGCTGTAAAAACAACTGAAGTGTTCTTAGAAAAAAACGGCTGGTCGCTGTGAAATTAAACGAAGTGTTCTATTCTTAGAAAAAAGAATGGCTGGTCGCTGTTAAATCAACCAAAGCCGTTTGAAAAAAAAATGCCTGTCGCTGTGAAATTAACCGATGTATTTTTTTGAAATGATTGGGCGCTATAAAATTAACCGAGGCATTTTTTAAAAAAAGAATGACTGTTCGCTGTGAAAACTACTGAAGTATTCTTAGAAAAAAGAACGACTGGTTGCTGTAAAACTAACTGAAGTATCTTAGAAAAAAAAATGGCTGTTCGCTGTGAAATTAACCGAAGCGTTTCTAGAAAAAAGAATGACTGGTCGCTGTAAAATTAATTGAAGTGTCTTAGAAAGAAGAGTGGCTGGTCGCTGTGAAATTAGACGAAGTGTTCTTAGAAAAAAGCATGGCTGGTCGCTGTGAAACTAACCGAAGTGTTGTAAAAATAAGAACGACTGGTCGCTGTGAAATTAACCGAAGTCTTCCTAGAAAAAAGAATGGCTGGTTGCTGCGA